AGATTTGTTCTGCACCCATTCACTGCTTGTTCTTTCCCAGTGTTTTCGGACTCTACTGTCTCCTTTGGTCCTTATACCCTCTAGTTCAAGGGCTGTGGGGAGATGATACGTTAGGGCAGATGATTTAACCTCAGATTGGTCCTCTAGGTTTTTTTTAAAGCTTCTAGCAACACATCTTCATATTCATGACTTACTAGGAAAATCCAAAATTTAAAACACCTTTATTGAAACAAATTATATGATAATAAAATGCCAAATTCCTTAGCCTTCCCACGCTCCATCTCAAGATGCTATAAATTATAATAGCAATGGTTTCAATTTTCTTTTTTCCTGCTACAGTACAATAAAACTATTTTGTGATATGTAATCTAATAATACATAGAACTTTTTTTTAGAAATGAAATCTGAAATGTCAATGACAGTATATTTTTCTTCTATGAATATTAGAAGTGAGGTTTCTTATCTTAGAAAGAGCGGCTGATATTTTCAAATAGAACTCATACCCTAAATACAATGTGCTGAAAATATCATTGTGTTGATTTAGAGATGAAGACTTATCTCAGAGGTGACATATGGGTGGCTCCCTACATGTTCTATTTGGATTGCACATGGTTGTCTAGCACTTTAAAATATATTGAATTATATTCTAATATTTAAATATCCAGATATTTAATCTTTAAGAGATATATATATGTATATCCATATATACATATATTTAATATACATAAATATACATATATATATATACTATGTCCTTTCTTAAAAAAAGAAAATATGGTGACCCAAAGCCTTTATTCTAGTATTATACAATTATGATGGATCTCAATGTATGGTTGCCTTTAGCACAAGTTCTCTAGTTGACACAATCCATACAATTTCCTACTGCTAGTGGAAGTGAGGTCATGGGTCAGTTACCATTTATGATTAGGTTTGCACCATGGTTTAGATTCATTTTGGTTTGTCTTCTCAAACAAAGACAAATACTTTAAGCTGGCTTAAGGTATCCACCTAACCTCAATGCTCATTTGTATTTAGGATCCCCATCTGTTGCAGGGCATTTTGTGCTGGATGGGGCCAATTTAAGCTTTGGCAATTCCAGAAGCTTGAAGGCTAGCCTCAATTCCACAGTGCTTCTGTGATGCCCCTTCTGACTACTGGCACCCAGCCTCTTTCCCTGATTTGGGATATCCCACTACTAGAGTTAACAACACACTATTTAGGATTAGAATTTGCATTGTCTTCCATTTGCTTCACTGAGGGCAGACTGTTCTCCTCTGAGGGAGGAAAGTCTTGAAGATGGAAATCCTATCTCTCAGACTAGAAAGCCTGAAATCTCTCTGCTCATGGCTACGGGACTTACACCCTCTTCACTCAGGCTGGATACTTTGAACATGGATTAAGCCTCAAAACAAAACAAAACAAAATAAAAAACACAATTTAGGTTACGTTAATCAGCAAGGCAAACAGATTCTCATTTCTTTTACTTTTTTCAGACTGTGGCCAGGGCCTCTACTGGCAATAAAAGATCACACTAAATTGTGCTAAATTATGTAGGAAGATTATAGTCATTAATACAATCATCTTCCATAAGAAAACAAATGTGCTAATGCCAGGAATCCATGCCAGAGTCAGCCTAGGAAGTGTACCTCTTATTTGGGTGTCCAGCCTCCCTGGGAGCATGCAAGCCATTACTCAGACCACAAACAAGGCTGAAGAAGGAGGTAATCTGGTTTGAGGAAATGGCTCCCTGCTTCTTCCTACCCCTCTTCACCCACTAAGAAAACCAGTGGCGCCTTCTATCAGTTTGGCATAAGGACAAAGGGAATGCTTAATTCTGCCTTAGAATTCTTGGTTCCTACCGTCAGCATTCCTAGTTCTCAGACAACACTGCACAGATATTTGTAGGGTTTTGTGAAACTGAAACTGAACAGCAGCAATGAGGAGAAAATTTCAAATCAAAAGAATGATTTAAAATATACCCCATGAACATTCCACTTTCTCTGCCTTTCCCTGCCCAACCAATTAATTAATTAATTAATTAATTAATTAATTTGAATTAAGCCCTCAAGAATATTCCCATAGGAGGGGAGTGATGAATGTTCCCATGTGGTCTATGTTCAAATTCCCGTCCCCTAACTAGCTGTGTCACCTGCGGTAAATAACCTAACATCTCTGTGCCACAACTTCCACATCAGTAAAGTGAGGTTAATATCAGTCCCTAGTTCTACTATCTGCCACATAGGAAGGGCTCAACATATGTCAGCTACAATTATCATTTTAGTTTTCTAAGGAAGTTACCCATTTTCTTTTTCTTTTCTTTTTTTTTTTTTAAAGATTTTAATTATTTGAGAGAGAGAGAGCAAGCAAGTGAGTGCACAAGCTTGGGAAGGGGCAGAGGGAGAAGCAGACTCCCAGCTGAGCAGGGAGCCTGACTCAGGGCTTGATCCCAGGACTCCGAGAACATGACCTGAGCTGAATTGAAGGCAGACGCTTAACTGACTTGAGCCACCCAGGTGCCCTGGAAAGCACCCAATTTCTAAGACACATAACTTACAACAGGATTTACAAAGTGGAATATAGCTGCCGGCTGGCAAAGCACTGACTCCAAGCATCTCAAGCTAAGATTTCATATTGCAATGAAGTAAAGCTCTGCAACCATCTCAAAAAGGGTGAGGTGCTTTTGCTTGGCAAAACTGGGCCCTGCAGAAACCCAAGAGCAACTTTTAAAGTTTTTTTTTTTTTTAAATCAGCACCTTTTAAATTTTCTTTCTTCTTGAAAGAAGGATTTTCTTCCCAGATAGAAAATTTGTGTTTATGGAAAACCTGGGATGTCAAAATGGGCTGCTGCTGTCCCAGTGTGATGATGTGCTGATGTGAGTGGTGACCAGATAGAAAAGGAGAACATCTAATGAGCCCAGCACTGCCCTCAAAATATGGGCTTATTATCTGGTAGACTAAATAGTGGAATCCTTAATTTGAAAGCCAGAAGTGGCCACCTGTGACCCTCATTTTGTAAAAGTGCCATCCAACCCTAAAGAGTTAAGGAGATAAGATCAAACTCTCTTAACCAGCTAGGGGCAAGGGTGGGATCAGAACTCTTGTGACTTCCTGTCAGGCTTTCTCCAGCATCTGGCTGGCTTGTGCTATTGAGGCCTTGCAAGACTTTCCAGTTCTAGCTCTTTCTTGTGAGAGAGGGCAGCTTTAACAAGTAAATCAAACACTCCATTCCTTCTCTAGCAGGCTCTGTGATACAGGCTCTTGGCCACACCTCCCAGTAGATATGGTGCCTCCATTTCCATAGGAAGCCCTCTAAGGAGCAGAAATCCAATGCACAAGGACACAGTGAAAAGGGAAGGCGCAAATAAGGAGCAAAATAGAATCTCAGTTGTGGGGTAATTTTGAAAACACTGAGACCCTCCTGTCAAACTGATGGGGCAATCAGCTATAAAATATCTTCCTCTTTTGCTAACTTTCTTGTAAAGCTTCCTGGCAACTGGTAGGTGATAAATTCTCAAGCTGTTTTTCCAAAGATCTTTACATGGTGTCTCCTGGCTGACTGAAAGAGCTTCCTTGGGGCTTGTCTAAGGAGACCAGAAGAAGCCTGGGTGAACAAAGCTGTGAAAACCACAACTTTATTCATTCCTTAAGGTTTGCATTTGCATAAATTTAGTGAATTTTTCTGCATGTTGAAAAACAACAAAACCAAAATAATATTTTTAGAAAGAGAATATAATGAAAGCACAATTGAGTTTCCATTAAACTTCCAAACAGTGCTCAACAATGGTTTCTAATAAATTCACAGGCTAGCTTTTTTTCTGTTTGTGTGTGTGTGTGTGTGTGTGTGTGTGTGTGTGTGTGTACACATTCTTGGTTTAGTAGTCAAGAAGCAGTCTAAAATGGCGGAGGAGAGAAAGATCCAATTTTCCTGGTTGAAACCCAATCTTGAGATTCACATTGGAAGAAATTCTGTTATCTTTTTTTTAAGTAAAAAAATTATGATTCTTCCTTTGAGCCTAATGCAGGAGAATTGCCTATACCCAGAAATGATCTTGCTCTACACTAGAACTACTCAGTCAGCATCTTTAATTATCATTTCCCACAAGCCTCTAGGCCAGTGCTTCTCAAAGTTTAATGTGCATACGAATCGCCTGGAGATCTCGTTAAAAATGCTGATTCTGATTCAGTAGGTCTTATAAGATTCTATAATTCTTATGAGTTCCCAGGTGATACCAAAACTCCCAGTCCACAGACTAAACTTTGAGTAGCAAAATTCTAGACCAAGTCCTCTTAAAGTTGTTCTCACCAGGTCAAGAAATGGGCCGTAGACGGTTATAGTATAAGCAGGCTTCTAGGAGTTACTATGTTCCTCGTGGATCTTCCCTCATTTAGATACCTCCCTCGAGTCCCTCTTCCTTCCTTCCTTTCTGAATACACTTGGCGGTTGCTTACCTAAAGGAGGCAGTCTATTGTACTGGCAGAAGAAGAAGAGCATGCGATCTCATGTTTCCATTTCAGCAACACCACTTGGTAGGTAGGCAATTCTCATCTCTGAGCCACATCTGTAATAGGAGGCTAACACATACCCTATATGCTTGTTACTGTGGATAAACAAGAGAAGGTACAGAACCCAGTGCAGTGTCTTGCATACTGGAGAAGTTCAGCAAGTATCAGGGCCCTTTCCTCTTTTCTTTAAAGTATTATGCCCAGAATCAGGGCATCATGGATGGCCTGATGAGCATAGACTTAAACGGGGTGGGGTCTATCATACCTAAAGCATGTTAATACATGGGTGGATTTAGTCCGCCCATTATGTTGGAAGCTAGAAGGCAAGATGGGTGGGAGTACAGGTATAATCTTCCACTCTTGGCAGCAACTTATAAAACTCCTGTCTTGCTTTGTTATCTTCTGTCATCACTCCTAAATTGGCATCTTTTGGCCTCATCAATTACTTAGGTAACATATAAAAATATGAAGCTGCCATTACGTGCCAGACACTGAATCAGATACCCAGATGAAGCCTCCAAATATAACCAGCCTACAGATTTGTTGGATTTTATGCAGAAAAACTGTGAGTAATTGATCAGAATGTTGCATTTCCATTCTAGTATTTGGTGTTCTATAGATGGGGCCTTCATAGCAATGAAGATATGTCAACAAGGTGAAGTTGCCATAATGAAAATAGTTTGACATACACACAAAAATAAATGGTGGTCAGAGTATCAGTAGGCAGAGATTTATCCTTCTGCGCATCCATCAGTCACTGACGGGAGAATCTTTCCAGAATGTTCAAGTTTCTCACTTCATCGCTGATGCTACATTCAAATGAAGCCACCTTACCTGATCGCCTCCTAACCATTTTTCTCCTATTGTAGAATTCAAGGTGAATGTGACAGCAGGGAAGTAAAGACATTCACCTAGAAGAAGGTGATCTCACTTTCATAAACAGGTCCGTAAATGAAAAAAAGATAGATTTACAAACTGAATAGGAAAAAAACACTGTGGAAGAAGGGTTTCTGGCTAGGTATGAATGAACATCTTTGGTTTAATCACATTCAAATAATGCTTATTTGCGAAGTTTGACTTTCCTGTCAAAATTGTCATAATGTTGCAAATAGACTTTAAATAGATAACTAGAGTCAGAGAGGAATACTGAGAACTTAATACACAAAGCTGGGGTAGCAGGACATTCATTTAAACATCCACGTCTTGACCTCCTTCTAGTCCAAAGTACAGAACTTGGCAGAAAGCAGGCGAGGAAGTCATTAATATGTGGAAAGGGGCTCTCTCAAAGGCACACCAACATTGAGTGCTTTTCTCTGATGAAAATCAAGAGGAATTGTACAAATATTTACTGCAAGAATATAATCAGTTCTATCACAAAGCTGAGGTATTCCCACAATTGACACCAGGCACTATATCATTACCAAGGTACACTTTCTGTTTAGGACGGGCTCCAGATCCATTCTGAAAGTGAAGTGCAGAGATCAGAGTTCAAGGACTGACCTTTCTTAAGCTAAAAACAAAAAACAAAACAAAACAAAACAAAACAAAACAAAACCAGAGTGAGTTTTTGTGTCTGTAATTTCCAGATGATACTGAACCCAGTGAAAGCTGCTAAAAGACCTCATGCAATCTCTTCAGTTACAACTTAATGCTTTTCTTTGTCTGGATCTTTATTTGGTCAAACCAACTATAATTTGAAAATGGACTCAATATTATACAATATTAAGGAATTCTTCATTTTCTTTCATTTTGATAATGGAATTATGCTTATATAAAAATATTTCTAAAATGTGTAGCTTGAAATATTTAATGGTGAAATGATGTGATGTCAGGTCTTCATTAAAATATTCCAGCAAAATGGATGAAAGTGTACTCAAAAAGTGTATGAGTGTGTGGGAAGGAGAGAATAGGAAAAACAACTATGGTAAAATGTTGATGGTTGTTGAAGCTGAATGACAGGTCCACTGGAGGATTGTGGGTGGTTGTGTGTGTGTGTGTGTGTGTGTGTGTTTCCTAACTCTTCAGTATGTTTGGAAATTTTACAGTAAAAGTTTAAAAAAAAGATCCAGCCCCAAAATAAAGAGGGTTACTTTAAAAAGCACTAAAAATGGTTTATACAACAATACTGACTTTTTGTGGTGAAATTCAGGGAATACATGCAAAAACCCAAGAGCAATAATTAATGGCCAATCCTATGTGCATTCCATTAAGCCCAAGCAGCTGTCATAAACATCTTAATTTAAAGAGTTGGGGTTTGGGGAATCATGGCACTGCAAAAAAGCGACATCCTGCTGCTGTTCCACAGAACTGGTACATATCAGACCCTTAAATTTTTAAACACAGCTTTCATGTTTTTGAGAGCTGAAAAACCTTTGAAAAGTCAGCTTGTTAGGAAATTCACCTTGCAGACTCCCGCTTCAAGGATTGGTTGAGGTGCTGGGTTGAGGCAAAACTGATTTGGGGGCTGGAGTGGGTGTTCACAGGTAAAATAAATGTGTTGTATGTTTAAGAAGGAGTAGCAAGAAGGCTCAGAATATACAGGCATGGCTACACTACCGTAGTACCTTATAGTAATGCAAGATATAACACCTCTGCGAGAGAGGCATTTAGAGTCTGTAAAGCCTCCCCCTACCCTTTGTTGTTCCTCTCCCAGGGACTGTCAAAAGAAAAAAAAAAGGAGAGAGCCAGCATCTTAAAGGTGGAAGAAGTGCTAATCTGCGAGTAGGAGTCTTAATTAGTCCCCCTATTGCTACATGCTAATGCAAACCTTAGGGGATGACTCTGCCATGGGTGCCTCCTCTGGGACAAGGGCACAATATTTCAACTCATGAACATCTCTTGGGTCCCTTCTGGAACACCTGAGTGCATGTGCTGTGATTTGTAGGAGAGCTGGTCCAATGCCTGCCCCCACCCCAACCACCCAGATTCCTCCTCCCCTAGAACTAGATGGCAAACAGGAGTCCTATGTGGGGTGCAAAGTTTAATGTGAGCAGAAAAGTGCAGGAGACAACGAACACAACCTAAGTCAACAATTTAAAAATCCAGACTCTCCACTTAACAGTATCAGAATGGACCCAATCACCTTTTATCAGTAGTAAATTTAACAGTCCCCCTCTATGGTTGCCTCCACTCACGACACGTTTACCCTCTTCCCTCTTCCCTCAGGAACCACATTTTTGCCTAAATAAATGAGTGGCTTGGGATTCTATATATTAATGACTCCCCCATGAACTTAAAGACACCTGTGCACAGGCTGAGCTTGACAAGGAACGAAGCTTGCACAGAGCAAGGTCTCCTATTAATTTCTTGAATCAATCCTGGCAATATTATTATCCAGTCCAGGAAAGAACACCTCTTTACTCATAGCATCAGATTTGAATTTTTTTTTAAACAACACTCTCCATTGCCCGTAAGAATGACTAATAACCGCCGGCTGTAATTTCCCAGAGTTTGTGGGTATGACTTCTACAGCGTTCCTTGCGTTTGATTTTGCCATATGTCGTCTGGGGGCTTGTGAGGGCTTTCAAACACAACGTAACCAAAACCCCCGGCCAGCTCTTGGTTTAGCCGGCAGAACTTTGTGGTACTCTTGAACTTACTACCTCCACCCCCACACCTGAGAGTCTCCCTGAAGGCTGCTTTCCCTGCATCACACATCATCAATCAAATGAGAGAAACACAGAAACCTCAGTTCTCAACTAAGGTTCTCAATACAACCACCTTTCCTGGGGTAGCGCTGTCTTCAATTTGAAGGTCACAGAATGAGTCAGGGGTAGAGGAGAGCAAAAGAGGCCATGGGTTCTTTGACTCTGTGTCTCAGAGACATCAGCTTTATCCAGAAGAATCACCTCATTAAAAGCAGGACTAATTGTCAGCGAGGGGACAGATGAAATTAAAAAAAATGTTGAATGATCAAAATACTGTTTTGTTATCGTATATACAGTCTCAAGAGCTACACAAATAAATTTGCCTGCTGTAGGTTTTGATTCACAAACAGATAAGAGGAAATTGAAACCACAATAGCCAAGTACCTCTCTGAGGAGACCGAGGCTGGGCTTCCATTGCAATAGTATTCTTATTTATGTATTCTTCTGTACATTTTAAGTATATATTTATTTACTCATACAAACCAGATTTGTTGAGTAGCAGTGTGTGCAGTTCATGATAAGCGCTATGGGGAAGGCAGATATGGGTATTCTTGAAGAGCTTGGTAATAGCTATGTCTTAAGTGCTGGCAAACAAGTTGCTCTTCTAGTAGGAAAAAACAATTGCTGGAAACCTTATTTTCACTGTCTCTATATACAAGGGCATTTCAACAGACCAGATACATGAAATATGGCGAACAGGGGATCAGTCTTCTGCATTAAATGACAAAACCCTTTGCAGTTTGAGCAAAGATCATTTCTGCAGTGGGACATCTCCAACAAGATGCACCAGATCCCTCTAAAGAGCCTCAGTCTTTGGGGGCCATTCCTTATAGGCTGGTGATTTTCCTGAGGGATTCTTCATAGAAGATTACAAATGGCTCTTCAGAAAGGCACCATTGCTTAAACAAACAACACCTGTATTCATTCACTTAGCAAATCGTTTTGTTATGGATTTGCCCAGCCAAAGTCTAAATGATCACCACTGATGACATTATACCATGTCTTTTCTATGGAGACTCTACCAAAGAAATAAAATTAGCTCACATTATCACTATTTATTGTTGACCGTTTTCTTTGCTTGACTCCATCCTCTTCCCTTTCAGTTTTCCAAATAAATTTTTTCTTAAGTTCAGAATTCCAAGGAAAGCTCTATGTGTCAATGTAATGTATATCATTAACATAAGTGCAGGAAATTATCTACATACCATTAAAGAACTGAGCTCATGTTGCCGTTAGCAAACTGAAGAGGAAACAAAATCACAAAGGTAACCTAGCAAACCGAGGTGCAGTTAAAATAGTTGCCCCCTCCCATCAGCCACAACCCACTAACCACACTATTTCTTACAATGTTTATCTTTTACATATGTGCAAATAAACAGAGTGTTTCTGTCCTGCCTTATTCATGTATAGGACTTACCTGAAGCTTTTTGGACTTCTTTTAAAAGCTCTGATTAACCCCAAGGGGACCCTGGTACCCACAAGCAATAGGCTGGTGACACCAGCAGAAAGCACCCTTTCGGAAGAATGAGAGTTCTTGGTTCACTCCTGCTGCTCTTGTCACCTATCTGACCTCCTGGACTTTAGGCCCTGCCCACCTAGGGTCTTACCTCCACTCTCTTCTTCCTGTTTCAGCTGACTTCCCTGGACTGATTTCCTCTTGACTTGGGACTGTCCTGTCTGCCTAATCCTTGGGAGAGGCTGGACTCTGGTCCTTCCCTGGCGGTCCTGTCCTGCAGTCACCCAGGAAGAATGCAAGAAAGGAGGACCACATTCTTGGTGGATGCAGACCTTCTGGTTCTGATGAACGTTTCCAATATCAGACGTGAGGCACCTTCTTCCCATTCCTCATTCCTCATCCCTCTTTGTGTCTGACAAGCAAAGAGAATACCTCCCAGGGAAGTGGTCAGGGTACCGTGAGACGGGAGCCACAGGAATCCTGCATGTGAACATGTTGCCACGGACCACAGAGTTTAACATCCCGCCAGATCTTTGCAAAGACGGGATAAGATTAGTGTGCAAGAAGCCCTGAGTTCCCTGAATTATCTGTCCTTAGGTCACCAAGGTCTTGAAGGGTGTGGATATAATGGAACTTCACTTTTTTTCAAGAACTATATTATGGCAAAACACAGACATTTTCTTAGGTTACAGAACTCCTTACTCAAGGAAGAAAACCAAGGAAGATGATGCCGAGACTAGATTTTATCAAAAGCCTAATAGTCATGCATAGATTAATAGGTGACACTTGACTTGAGTAAAAGCAGCTATCCTTGGTTTAGATGAACACAGAAGTTGAAAGGTTTCCTGAAAAAAGAGAAAAATAAAGACCTTATTTTTACCTCAGACCTGAATTTGACCAACGTGACCCTATCAAACCATTTACACCCACGGACGGCCATTTTCTTTGAATGGTTTTGGAAAGACACCCTCTTCAGGTCAGGAGAAGAAAAAAGCAAAGAAGGTAAGTGGGACTAGGTGAGCACTTTCTTGGTGAAATTATTTGAGAAATGATTTGAATGAAAAAAATAAATGACAGACTCTAAACACAATTCTTTCTAGAGGTTTTCACAGCTAAAACAAGTAGGATATGAACTCCTAGGGTCAGAGTTATAATTCTAGACAGGACTGTATCTGATTCCATCCATCCACACACCCATGCACCCATGCATCCATTTGTCCAACAAATCAAGAAGTATTTGAGTGCTTATTATGTGAAAAGTTCTGTTCTTGGGGTTTGGGGGTTACAAGAAAGACCAAGGCAAGCCCTTAGTGCTCAAGGAGGGCAAGAGAAAGTAACAGAGTATGTGCACACAAGCAGGGCTCTCCTCAGCCACACCAGAGACAAGATGGATCTTTCCACACAGCACAACTAACTCTGGAGGCTTAACTTTATCTTAGAATATGTACTTAGGTAAAGGTGTTAATTCTCTCTTTTTAATTTTTTTTTTTAATTTGAGTACAGCTGACAAAAGGTGTTAATTCTCTCCCTCTCTTTTTTTAGATGCTCAACTGACTGAGCCACCCAGTTGCCCCATGACGTATTAATTCTCTTAAGGCTTAGCAGATGTACAAAACTGACAACATGCAATTTGTATACTTACTCTACCCCTGGCTTCATTTTATTATCTCTACCTGAGTTTTCTTTCCACCATGATTTATTCACTGAATTTTTACCTGTATACTGTATCAGTATACACCACCTCATATCTTCTTGGGAAATAAAGAGGTCTAAATTCCCTCCCCCAAATAAATAAATACAATTACCCTACTACATCCCATAATAACAAAGATAGTCATTTTTATTATTACACATGACTTTCACTGAGAACTCCTATGTGGTGTCAGGAACCGTACTAAGCACTTTACAATCATTTTCTTAGGTCTGCACAATAACCTTTTGTGACTATTTGGATTATTAACCCGATTTCATAGAAGAGGGAAACAAAGCTCAGAGAGTAATGTAATTGCTAGTAAGTAGTACAGCCAGAACTTGAACCCACACAGTCTGCTTGTAGAATTCCTTGTGGTTTATCCACATACTTGAGCTCTCTAGGCCTCTTGATGAGATAGAAGCCCTTTGCTTACTGGTCTGACTCACCAGTTTTCCTCTGCTATTTGACTTTAGGACCTTATATTGTACCTCACCTAGTCTTGGGGGTCTTTCTGAATTTTGGCCCTGTCTTCTCTGTGTTGCCTGACCCCATGGATGGGTTAGTAGAAGCTCCCTCATCTGAGCCCCTGTATCTCTGGAGGGTGAGCTTCTTCAGAACAGTGGCTGTGTCTTCCTTAATTTCAAGCTGTCAGCGCTGGTAGCATACATGAGCCACAGTAGATATCTACTAAAAGTTGGTGTGGCTTGACTGAACAAATGAGGGCTCCCCCTTTTTCATGACCATGAACGCTCTCCCAGAGATGCACGTCCAGATCCTGGTCCCTTCATGATGGTCCTGCAGCTTCACCCACTTGTATTTGGAGAATTCTACATGGCTGGGTGATGCTTCTAAAATTAAATAACTATAAATCTGTGAGTTGTAAAGCACAGACATCAGGTTTTATCAAACAGAGAGAATATACTTTGCAAGAAAAAAGGTCTTCTGGATTAGTGATTTATAAAATGGACTCGGTTTCAATTTAAGTATATTCAAAAGTGCCACACTTGAAATTGGAATGGACACTTTTAATTATCTTATGAATTCAAGCATTTCAATGCTATCTTTTCCCCCCAATTTGCCTTAGAGTGATGCCGCCAGCACCAGAGCCTTCTCTCTCTTTTCTACTTTGACATGGTCTTTTCTCTCTTCCTCTATGCTTTTATTACCTGGGCTACTTATTTGACAATTCATTATGTTTAGCTTAGAGATATATATTATTATATCCAATTATTATTTGGCTCTTGCATTTTTAAAAAAGATTTATTTATTTATTTGAGAGAGAGGGAGACAGTGTGTGAACTGGGGGAGGAGGAGAAGGACAAGCAGACTCTGTGCTGAGTGTGGAGCCCAATGTGGGGCTCGATTCCATGACCCTGAGACCATGACCTGAGCCAAAACCAAGAGCTGGTCATGGAACTGACTGAACCACTCAGATGCCCCTAGGTCTTGCATTGTTCATTCAAGGTCACCATGTTCTTTTTTTTTTAATTTTAATTTATTTATTCATGAGAGACACAGAGAGAGAGAGAGACAGAGAGGGGCAGAGACACAGGCAGAGGGAGAAGCAGGCTCCATGCAGGGAGCCCGGCGTGGGACTCGATCCCGGGACTCCAGGATCACACCCTGGGCCAAAGGCAGGCACCAAACTGCTGAGCCACCCAGGGATCCCCAAAGTCCCCATGTTCAAGAGGCCATTGTGACTTGTGCCTCTTGGAATCCTTCCTAGAATCTAGACACTAAAGTTATTGGTTCCATGTACTTCAGGAAAGGCCATGAATACCATAAAAGGTTATATCCCTCAAATAAAGTGAATATAAATGTCCTCCACTGCTGGGCCATTCATATGTGAAGTGAGGCAGGTTCTACAGAGCAGTCTCCAGGCAGAAGTTCTGGTAAAATGTGAATAGCAAGGAATGTGGGGAGGATGGTGTTAGTGGGTCAGGTAAATGGTGGAAGGGATTGGGGGGTGAATTCACTTCTTAAATAGACTCACAGGCCAGGTACTGGGCTAAATTTTTCACACACTTGAATCCATCTAATTATCACAACAAACTTAGATGTTAATAGAATGTCCCCACCTCTTCTGCCCATGATTAAAATGAAGCTCAGAGAATTTAAGTGACTAAGCCAAGGTCACACAGCTACTTAGGTGGTAAAGCTGGAGTGGAACTGGTTTATCTAACTTCAAAATTACACTCTTTTCTTTATACTATTTCCCAGCATCACTTTCATGCATGCATTGGCTAGAACCTACTTTTAGGCTCAGAATGAAGGAAATAAAGGTTAATAGGATGCCTAGCTGGCAAGTGTAATAAATGAATGGGTACAGAACGGACAGGGAAGGGAGGCTGAAATGTCCAGTTCCTGATTATAGTCCAAATGGAAAAACCAATATGGCAAATGGTTCTAAGCAGGTCATTAACAGACCATTTTGAGCACCTACTGTGTGAAGGACAATCTACCAGGGTGCAAAGACAGTAAAGTGGGGAGGAAAAGAGTTGGGACAAAATCTTAGCATCCAGCCAGTGACTTACACAAAAGCCAGATGAGCCAGGAGGGTTCCTCTGGCCTTGCATTCCTGCTTGAATGCCAGCAGCCTATGGATCGGGTGTTCAGCAACCCAGCAATGGAACAACCCAGCAATGGCAGTCTCCAGCCCCGTGGGGCCTGCGGTATAGACGCTACTCCGCCCTCACCCCCCGTGGGGAGGGGGCTGCAGATGCTCCCCGTTGTCTGGGGGTGGGGTGGCTGTGCCGGGAGAGGGAACCAGACTGCAGGCAAGCAGGGGGTTAATAGCTCATAAAATAAAACCCTCTAACACAAAAATGTTATTTTAATTGTATTACATTGAGGAGCCCTGAGGGTCGTGGGGTAGATAATCAAAAAAGGACAAGGAGGAAATTAAAAAAGGGAAGAAGGCAATCAAAAAGGCCATTTAGGAGAGCCCCTTAATCCTCCATAGAAAGAACACTAATTATACTCCAGAATCTCCTTATAATTAACCCTGATATAAAGTGTTTTTTTTTTTTTGAGCGGTAATAACTTTCACATTCACAATCGTTTTGATCGCAAACTCCTGTGAACGGCTCACAAACAGGAGCCCGCCCCGGTTGGCCAGTTCTCCTCCCCAGTGAGCCACCAGGGATGACACCGGCTGGTCACAGCCAGAAGAAGACAAATATTCCTGCCCCCACCTCACTCCACAGCTCCGCTCAGCTCAGCCCATTGCCTTTTTATTTTTTATTCACTTTTATTTTTATTTTTATTTTTTTAGATTTTATTTATTTATTCATGAGACCCAGAGAGAGAGGCAGAGACATAGGCAGAGGGAGAAGCAGACTCCCAACTGGGAGCCAGAAGCAGGACTGGATCCCAGGATCTTGGGATCACCACCTTTGAGCGTCTGACTCAAAGGCAGACGCTCACCCACTGAGCCACCCAGACGCCCCGCCTTTTTTTTTTTTTTAATTTTTTAAAAATTTTGTTGGCAGGAATAGCCTGGAATCTAACCATCCTTGTGCCTCATTTCACTTCTCTGTAATTGCTTCCCTATGCTGGCTGTTATCTTTTACTGTGCCTCGGACTCTCTCCATTGGTTGCAAAGCCACTAGATTCCCAGCATACCTTCCTTCCCTCACAGGCCCCTGCTTAGATTTACCTGTGCTCCTTGGCCACTGGGCACACATTGCTCTAATCGTTCTCAACGTTTCCAGACAAAAGCCAGGATTCAGACAGACTGCCCAATCTCGTCCAAAACAAGAGCCTCACATTCCTCACCCTGACAGCTGATCCCTTACGAACCAAAGCTTCTAATTGTCCACTGGAGAAGTTCAGGAGCAAAACAGAGCAGGAAAAGAATGCAGACAGTTGTATGCTTCAGGTGTCTGGGCATCGCTGGGAAGAGAGATGCAAAGGAAAGGCACCTGGGACCAGCCCTATGAAGGGAGAAGTGCCTAGAATATAGGCTGTTTGGAACTTTTTAAAATGGCATTAAAATGAAAAGAATCTGTCCCTGTCCTCACATGAACTGGCCATTGCTCTCATCCCACCCAGTAAGAGAAGGAGCAGGATCTCAGATCCCATGAGATCCCCGGGGAGATAGTTTCAATGGAGCACCTGCCTGCCAAGTGAAACCTTAGGAGAGGTTCACAGGGCTTCTGACATTCACAGGCCTCAGGAAGATATTCGTCCCTCTTTGAATGTACTCCTGGGCCTGGCTTCATCTCCTTTCTACAAAGATACAGCGAATGCATTTGAAAGGTTTGCTGGCTCACAATGGGCTGCATCCCCACTTTAACCGGAGATGGGAGATGGGGAAACCAAGGTCTGTGAGACACGGAGCCCAGTGTTTTTCCTCTGCCTCAAGAGAAGGCCACGCCAAAGGAATTTTTCCTTTTTTTTTTTTTTGCCTTGCAGGCTACTGAACTCAGACCTTACTTCTACTTCCCATCTGGATGATTATTCTTTATGTAGAATTTACCAAGATAAGAAAATGCTTCCTCTTTTGTTTTTTTTTTTTAAATCAGAATCCAACACTGTATGTTAACTATACTGGAATCAAAATTAAAAACTTAATAACAAAATAAATCAGAAACCATAACCGAGAGAAAAAAACCATGACTGAGAGAAATCATTCAACACTATTGATTAATGGTCTCCAGTATGCTCACCCCCTTGGTCCTAGGCAAAATATAATAGATTATATTGTCCCTACTTGTGTAGGGACTAGGCTGTACCTATTCAATGTTATATTTAGTTGAACAGCAAAATGTAGTTCATCAACACAGACAAACCTAGGATGTTGGCACATTTGAACTTTAAAATATCAGTACTATCATTCTTTTCATCTCAAAACACCTTTAAAGACACACAATTCATTTATAAAATTGAACAAAGAGATTAAAAATGAAGAATAGACTATGAGTCTCCCACTTTTAAACTTTACAGGTACAATGCATTTATAAGTATAATACACTAAAGAGAATTAAAAAGATCCGTGTTAACATCCCCGATCCATGCATTAATGCAAGAACATGTTGAGTGCTATTCATTTCTCCATAGCTAAAGATGAAGCAGACACAGATCCCACCCTCAAAAAGGTTAAAGTATAAAACGTGCCATAAGAGAGGTACAGATCAGAAAAAAAAATACTTTATAAAATTATAAAGTTGCTATATGAATGTTAAGTTATTATTCATTTCATCTGGCAGGGGTCTCCCCTTAATTTAACCCATTTGAACACAAAGTGGCAATTTAGTATCTCCATAGGTGGGTATTTACAACTCCCTTTGATGGGTCCTTTATTCTAGGTTATATTAATATTAGTAGATAGGAACTGGAAGTCAATGAGAAGAGGTGAGGCTGATGCTAATCCTTATCTTCCATGTTTTGGTGTCTTTCCTTTAGGATGCAGGTCCCTACATTGGGCTCTCATCCAGATCCCTTTACCCCACCCCATATTCTGGATGCCTCCACCTCTATTCTGCTTTATCAAAACTTCATTGCCAAAGAGTCCCAGTGTTGCCATTTAAGAGGGCAACACATTAACTGGAAAGGCTCAGTCTCTTGGCTACTTTCCTAATGCCAAACTCCAATGATATATATTTTAACAAGGTCTTCTGGGGATGGGTCCTGAGCCAAAAGAAATGCCATATTAGCCAGGTTAAAGAGAATAGAGTCAGGATTCTGGAATTCCATTCCCAGATTAGTCACTTGCTCTTGTAACCTTGGACAAACCCATTTACTTATCTGAGATTTCCATTTTCATTATTGTTAAAATTCGACAACGACAGACACTCTTAAGCTTGTATAGAATATGTAATACAAAACTCTCATGAATTATATATGTTTTAATCCAGTGGTGGATGGAAATTTTAGCCAGGTACAGGGAATCTTTTTGACAAGAACCTTGTCTATAGCACCTTGGTTTGGCCTACTGTCCCAACAAATGGCATAGAATTCATCCCAACTGGATCGTAACAGTTTAATGCACTCCCTTGTTCACTTGTTCTCTGACTGCTTTAAATCTAAAATGTAAAATCTAATCCAACTTGCACTTTATACAGTCAAGGGGTAGTATTTTCTAACATCTGACCTCTGCTTTAAGGCCAGTTGCTGACAGTAGACATGTCTTCAACATTAAAAAAAAATTGCTAGATACCTTCTTGTCCAGTTCCATCTCTGGAAGTGGCAACACTAATAAGCATTGAATTGAAGCGGCCCTTGTGATCTGTCACTCTTTACATTTTTCTCTTGTCATACTAACATCAACAAAGCCTTAAACAAGAATAAACAGCTAACGTCTGGGAAGCAATTTTTAAAAAGTAGACCTTGGGATCATATTTAAATAGTTAGCAGTTGCACATGGGGCTCCTAGCAGCTTATCTTCCTTTAGGTGACCACAAGGGAGGGCCTAAAGTGAAGGTGCTGGAAGGTCTTCCTCACTTCATGTGTGCATGAGACCCTTGGAGATGATTGTTAGCAGCTGGAAACTCTGAGGTTATTAAGAACAGTAGGAAACGCCATTCTTCTCACTCTGAATAACTGTATGTGGTTAAGTGGCCTTAAACTTTTATGGCCTGATGGCTTTTGCTGTTGTCTCCAAATAATTTAAACCTTTCCTTCTTTAAATGATAGAAGTAATATACGCTGGCTATAAAAAGCTAAAAAATGCATTTGAACGTGGAATAAAAATCAAAAGATCCCATTCACTCCCCATCCCCAGCCCCCACATTCCTTAATCCCTCTCCTTTCTTCTGAGGTACAACTTTTTAATATAGCTTCTTCTAGGCTACTTTATATGCCTTAAATATAGGCTTAAAATATGTGTGTGTGTGTGTGTGTGTTGACTTACATTTTTCTTTGTACATTATTCTATGATTATTTTACTTTACTTAATACATCATGAATTGGTTTCCAAGTCACTGTATCTATGTTTGCATCTTTCTTTCTAACTGTTGAGTAGTATTATATGGAATAAATAAAAAGGTATATTACAGTCTGAATTTTTATGTCTCAACAGTTAGCTACTTTTATGTGGAAAACGGATGCTTCTTTTGATAGATAAAACAGAGGAAGAGGAGTATTTACATTGTCTGTCGGACACTCAACCCACGGAACCACCCAGGTACCCCTTTATTGCTTTTTGATAATAGTCTGGCATAGACTGAGGCTAACCCAGTAAGCAGTGAAAAAGCCCATCATTTTACCTCAAGAGATTTGAGATCTCTGATGGGTCATTTGGGGTGAACAACTCGCAGCAGTGGTGAATATGGTAATTTGAGTGATGTCAAGAAAAGGGCCAGGTCTCAAACCTCCAGACAGTATACCTGAGTTTCACCATTAGAAATTCATTCCTTTGGTCTAAGTATGGCCAGCTCTGATCATTCCCTATATATATTTTATTCCCTATAAACATATATAAGGAATGATCCTAAAACATATGTATGTTTTAGGAATAAGCAACCACTGAGTTTGCTGGGTACTTTTCTTCCCAGAAAGCACAATTCAATCAGAAAATGTTCAGTGTTCCTGGTGGCAAATGATTCTAACACTGGGGAGGGGGAGGCATAAGACAAGAGAGATATGCTAGGAGAAGAAAACAGTAGAAAAAAAAAATTAAGAGTTCCAAATTTGCTGAAATGTCATTCAGCTATCTAGAGGTGGCCCCAACTTTTAAGAGAAAAGTTAACTACCAAGCAAATAAAAATAGGATTTTATAAAGGTGGTGTCTTTCTTTTGTTAAGCAGAAGAGAGGGGGCAAGTACAGCAAGCACGCTAACACCCCCACTCCTGCTTCTGGCAGACATCACTTATCTATTGTGGTCTTCTTTCCTGCTGAACCAGGACTGGGCCTCAGATTTCTTCGGTACTCAGCACTCCAGGCAGCCACTACCAATTGACTGTGGTTGGCACCCAAAATGAAACCAGTTTGGCAAACCAGTCTGTCGAGGGAAGCATCATCTCCATTGTGACCAACCACAATGTTTGAATTTCACAGGCAGACATGAATTGTATAAGCTTAAATTTGCTGGTGGGATTCTTCTTCAGCCAACTGTCTGTGGAAGATATGTCATAGAGAAAACAGGAGGTCTCTCTTAGCTAAGAAATTAGGATCCTTCCATACCAGACTGTAGGTTCCATGTGGGTTAGGGCTTTTTTTCCCCATAAAAAGCCCAAGAGAACTTGCAACTTAGAGCATGTGCCAAGTTGAACGACTGTCTAAACTGTACAGCGGAATGGGATGCATCTCTAGCAGACATTCAGTATATAGAGCTCTTGAGAATTAAAAAAGGGCAAAGTTTGCCTTAATGCATCTTGTTTGGATAGTGTAGTCTCTGCATATGTACCCATATTAGATATCTTTAAAAGAACTTTTTACGTAAAAATATGAAATATAGTCACCATCAAGGAAAACAGGAATGAATCTAATAGGAAGAGGATGTGATTGTCAAATTGGTGGGTTATATAAAATGGAAAGGTAAGTAAGGGCAAGCCAGCACCGTCCAGATTCCTGCAAGGTGGCAAAGTCAGGCTGTTTGCACAGAAGTAAGGCCAAAGATTTTCTCCCTGCGGTGGACCTTCAGGAAGCAACCGGCTTCCTGCGCCCGGGGCACACTGAAGATTCTACTACCACATTTCAGGAAGCTTTCCTGAAGAAGCTGTCTCAATCAAAAAAAGTAAGCAATTAAAATAAGCCTTTACTTCATTTAGCCAGCTTTGTTCCACTGCATCAGGGAGAGATCAAGCAAGCCCATCCAGCTTATCTGAGACGCAATAATCATCTACCTTCTCTCTCACTCACTTACACACCCACCCACCCACGTATGTTCACACACACACGTGAAAATGTACACACACACTTATTCACTCACATATGCTCACACACACATACACACTTACCCTCACATCAGACACACATATTAACGTACACATACACTCAACGCACCTACTCATGCTGTCCTGTTATCAACCCCCTGTGAAGCAGACTCAGTATTTCCCCCTCCCCATCAGACCATTTCCTTCTAGACAAAAACAACTCCCTCTGGATAGAAATCTTCTTGTCAAGGGACACTCTCATAAACACCAAGCCCCGGGGACTGTGTGGAATATAAACGCACACCTGCTCTGCTGCTGGCCCCTTTATCACCGAGATGGTATTAGCTTGTTCCTCTGGAGGAATTCTGGCTCAGAACTTTTATAAGTAGGAGACTCAATTATGCTTCTTATGAGTTCCCTAAATTTGGAAATGGAGCTAAATAAGGAAATACATTAGTCAATGTCCTTCTCAACCTCCTCCCCTCTTCATTTCTCAATCTTTTTTTTTTTCCTTTCTGCTGCTTTCTTGGGGTGATTTCTTTGAATTAGTAACACAACCAACTGTAGCAACCACAAACAAAGTGCCACACTGGTATTAAAAGGAGGACAAGGGAAAAACAAACATCACACTTAGATAGTCTGAGTGTGACCAGTACATGGCTGAGGCCCTGTGAGCCAGTGAGTCCTTGTATGGGCCACACAGAGTCACTTCAGTGCTGAATTCTACTGAAGAGTAAACCGTGTTACTATGAGAAAAGAATACATTTCACATAGGGGATCTTTATACTTCAACTGAAAGTATTAATGGTGTCAGTTTTTGGGGATCACAGAGTTCTGGGGAAGGAAAAGACCATGGCTGGAAAGTTAAATCACATTATCTTGCATAAAAAGTCATGGCAGAGATACATAGTTCCCTTACGGAGCTTTCTGGAAGACAAATTTTGGAGTCTGCTTGAACTTCTAAATACATGAAAAGAATGTATGGCAATCAAGTCTGACCAAGGAAGCAGAAAGAAAGGAAGGTCACTGGGGCAAATAGGGCAATGCCCTTCTAGGGGTTTTTTCAGGCCAAAGGATCCAATCAGTTGTTCTCAGTGGCAGGAAAGTTGAGTTGCAGAATTTATGTGTATCTAACTATCTACTATCTACACACAGGTGAGGTGTTGGAGTAGGGAGCAGGAAAGGGAGAAGGGGAAAGAAGATGGGAGGGAGTAGGAGGGAGAGAGAATTAAGAGAAGAGAAAAGCAGAGGGGAGGAGAGGGGGAAGAGAAGTGAGATGAATACAGGAAACATGACTCTACACATCCTCCAATCAGCCCCAGTTCTTGAGCCTGTGAACATCTTTTTGTGCTGGAGATGATTTTTAGGATTTAATTATAGTATTCATTCCCCATGGCCAGTGTTCTCCAAGTGTGGTCCTTGTGCCAGCAGCATCAGCATCACCTAGAAATCCTTTAGAAATGCAAACTTGGGACCACTCCAGTCCGAGGAAATAAGAAATTCTGGGGATGGGCCCAGCAATTTGTATTTTTAAAGTTCTTTTAGGGATTCTGATGCCTGATAAAGTTTGAGAACCACTGCCCCAAACATGGGGCAACCACTGTTTCTAGAACCCACTAAAGAAACAGCTGAAGAAACCTCGCATTTAAATAAACAAAGGAACATTCTGGTTTTTCACATCAGTTATGGGAGCTTGTGGTATTTGAATCCGTCCTCATCTTTCTGAACATTGCAGAGACAAGTCTTTGAGTCTGTGCGATTGAAAGCTGGTTTCTACAAACAGGAGAGAGTCAGAGGTAATGGCCCCCTATTAGGCTTCTTGGGACACCTGACTTCTCCATGTTCTGGGTGGGTCCTTCTCAATTTTTAAACACTGACAGAAAAGTAGGTTTCCAAGTTTGGAAAGAGACCCACACCTTGGTACCATGCTTCAGAAAGGTCCAGTGCACTCTTCTAAAAGTTCTGTATATAATGTCATGGTAATCATGTAGCCACTTGGCGATGAGAGATGGGGCTAGAAATTTCTGTAATACTTTTGGCAATGGCTAACAAAATCCCTTTCCTGCAATCCAAAACATCGATCTGGTGTTTGTTTCTATACTGTTTTTATTGTTTCATTTTCTCTGTTGTGTGCACTCAGACTTGACTTGTAGACAACTGTGGGCAGCACAGTTGGGTATAAAAGAGAGTTATTTAATGGTGTTATTTAAGGTGTGCACCTTAACCATGCAGTTTACAAAAGCAAATCCCTGTGAGGTATAAAGCATCAGAGAGCAAAACAACAGTCGCTGACATCTCTTTGGAGGAGAGAAAGAAGCTGAGTCACTGAGCGTGCAATTCAAGAGAAGGCAAATATATCACAGAACAAAGGATAAACCTCCACCCTGGGTCACAGGACATCTGCTTCAGAGATGTTCACCAACACAGAAAGATTTGTTGCTTATGATAAAAGACATCTGTGACAAGACATACTGAACAAAGCATCATCTGACCCCTAACTAAACATAGCTTGCTTTATAAAAGGTTGTTTTTTATATAATATTGCCAAACACTATTTCTGTAGCTCTTTTAAGAAGAGAGAGACCAGTTAGTGATATTGAATCTGTGGCAGACATCATTCTAATCTGTGTCTGGGAAAGCATATCACACCTATACCCTACCTGCCTAATTTGCTATTTAGGGATAGAAATGAATGCTACTTAATTAAACAAAACAAGACAGTTATACTAATGAGGGCCTACCATCTTCAGAACTATGCTAAGCATCCTAAGGAAAAAGAGAAAAAGAAAAAGACAGGTACCACTTTGGCCTCCAGAAGAGACAGGTAAACAGAAGTTCAGCATTGAAATGTTTGTGTTTAGAAAAGTCCATGTGAATGGGAACGTGGCAGGAAAAACCTCTGTGGAAAAGATGAGCTTTGCTTAGTGGCTAAAATTTCACAAGGATGTTTGGCAGGAAATATAAGCAAAGCAGAACAACAAAGTCAAGGCTCAGTGCTCTTAAGATAAAATGCAATTCCTCACTTCAGTTTGGGATGAAATACTGGGAAGCAGCAAAGTCACCAATGGGAAGGGTGATTCACCATCAGAGAAAGATGTATTGACTGGACAGGCCAAGCCCGATTTAATCCCCCATTCCCAATTCTAAACACATAGTAGATTAGGTGTATCCATGCCCTTCACAACAGGGTATTATCTATTGCATTTCAGCTGTCACCTCTCCTAATTATCTTCTTTGCATGTCACCTCTAAGAAGTCATTGAGGGCACAAGCAGATGCT